ATCAATGGTGGACCACCAGTGATACCCCCCAGACCAGAAACATCACTTTCAAGAAGTGAGTACTATCACAAAAATTACTTAAGGATGTAGTAGAGGTTATTGTTATTGCAATTGCATTGTACATTTTTGCAGTAACATATTCTTTGAATCCCATCAAGTTATATATTTTTAGAAAGCTTCTTTTTCAAATAATATAAATAAATAAATATTCCAACAAAAAAATGTGATCACTGTGCAAATAGAGAGGTGTTATCTTTGAAGAAATCGAAATAAGTCCACAGAAATGATGTTCGCGGTACTTAGAGATACTATAAAAGGTTTGAATTCAATTTCCTAGTTTAATAGTCTACTGTTGAGTGACCTAGATTTTGACCTCATAACACTTTTTTAAAACATCGTCAACGTTGCTTTGAAATATGATACCCTGTGTCAGTGTTCACAAAGGGGAGAGTTGTGTCGTATTTTCTAAAGTCAAAGTGGTAGACAAACTTTCTTTGCCAAATTTCATTAGCATCTATCAGAGAATACCTATGCCAAAAATCACAGTCGTGGAGAAGGTTGGAGTCGAGATCAACTCTCTAGACTAAACCCAAATACCGATGTTTTCTTATGCGTGAAAAATTGCAAAAAACACACACTGTATCTCAGATTTACTAAAAATGTATTACCCTCTTAAACCATTGCTACAATTGTTTTTTCTAGTTGAATACATGCTTTATATATTCTTTATAAAAAAAGTAAATTTGATATTTTCAAAGAAAAAAGCCTCTACTACATCCTTAATAATGAAGGCTAATGTCATGACATGACCTGTCTGTCTGATTGTTTTTATGAATGTGTACAAATATTGTTACACAACAAGAAGCCAAAATGTCATGGAAATAGTCAAAATTTACAATTTTACAAATGTTGTATATTATGAGGTTATTGCGAGAAGACTTTGAAGGCGATATTTACATGTTTATAGCCAACTATAATAGATGGATTAAAAATACAGAAAATAATGCAGCTGATTAGTAAGTGATTGTTAACCAGAGTGTTTATTTGACGCTTTATATTTGATTCTATCAATAGTGGGAATACGTAGGAGACCCAAGACATCAATGAGTATACAAGAAAGGAACATCCATAGAGAAGAATTGAACAGAGCCCAGTCAGCGCCAGCTTTGACTCAAGCGCAGCGAGCGGTATCAGCGCGATCCATACTAGCAAAACACAGCAGTAGATATGCACAACAGAGTAACATGCCGTCGTTAAACATGGATGGTAAGAGAGTGATTCACAGAAAACATGCAGAGAATAAACCGCTGTGGAATG